TGTAAAGGCTGAAAACCATTATAAAGCCTCATCCGGTTCTTTCAAACCAGGAACTCAGAGGGACGACCCAGACCACTTCAGTATATAAAAAATATATCCGTGCTGGTTTATTCAAAAAGTCACAGGCAAGAATTCACACTTCAAGTCCAGAGATCTTCCAACCCCCAGGCTGCCCGAGCAGCCCGGAAGCAGCAAGACCCCGAACCAAGCATTGCTATACAATATTAATCCTTTCTGGGCTGTCGAACCGTGACGTCACCTGATATGCCAGCTTGGCAGCTGAGCAGAGCAGTAGACCAAACATGAAGAAAATAATGTGTGTGGCTGTTGTTTTCGTGGTGTGTATCTAAAACAATTTGACATAACATTACACATTAAGACAAATATTATGGTTACTTTTACCGTCATAATAACATTTGTCCTTGACTTGAGCCCTTCTGCCTTAACCAACCTTGCATTTAACATCCTGAGGAGACATCCTGGCTACACTAAACATCTTCTAATACAACAGATCTCTAATCCATATCTATCTAACTAAGAAATTACCTAACACCCTGCAGGAGCCTGTTGCTGGATCATCAGACACACTGGACTTACCTGGTACAACTGCTCTTTACTCTGTAAGTTTGTGGCAGGCATACAGTTTCCCTTTCTCTCCCCGGCTTCTCCAGTCTTTGTACCTTTCACACAGATTTAATATAATATTCATGCTGACAGAAAAAAAACCTTAAAGGTGCCTTAATTTTACATATTGTTTGATAAACCCAGTGACACTGGGACAAGATGTGGTGTCTTAACTGTCTCTAAGGCTAAGTCTGGTCACCCTACAAAGGAAACTCATCTTGGCCGCTTGTGTTCGCGATCTTATTCTTTCAGTCAGTATCCATAGGCGAGGGTTGGAGCATAGACTGACTGACGAGTCTATTTGGAACATCACATCGAACAGTGCTGCCTTTTTTTTGTTTCACTGTTGTGGCCCTTAACCTGCCAGCATGGTGGGATTTCCAGTTTCCTGGATAGTGGGAGAGCCCTGTTCCTGGCCAGTTACAAACATCCTGCATCACCCTGCTGTGAAATTTATTCGTCACTGACATCTTTTGGCAGCAAGAGGAAGCTACACCTAAAGAGCAGATGCATAACTGATCCAAACTTTGAGGTAAACAGGAAGAAACTTTATTTATAAAGCAAAAGGATCCAGCAGCCGCTCATCCTCATTTAGAGTCATGTCCCAGTAGTTGTGAACACGAGCGGTTTTTTTTTGTTTGTTTGTTTTTTCTTTTCTTAACAGCTGCTTGTGTAACTGGCACTGATTTTCCAAAACATAAAAAAAATAAAAAGGCAATAAATATCATGGCTAAAGTTTTAAAGTCCCTGTTCACAAGCAGATATAGGAACTGTTGAAGCTTTACTTAATACCAGCATTTTGGTTGTTTGTTGACCCCCAGATATCTCTGGAGCTGAAGTGAAGCCAACAAGTTTTCTTTATCGTGATGCAGTGTGCGTTACAGGTTTGCTTCATCCATAGAAACTCTCTTGATTACAAACAAAAATCACAGTTGTAAGCAACTGTTAGTTTGCTTGTTTGAGATTATCAGATACCCGGATGCTATGGTTTTAAATGAATTCTTGCATTCTTCACAAGCATTATGTATTGATGCCTCAGCTCTGGATGAGGGGTCGGAGGTCAGGTGAGGCTTGGTTTGGGCTCGTATTTCACTCTGTTGTACTCATCGACTGTAGTTTCTACTGGAGGTGTCTTCCAATATTTTTCCAGACCCAGTGCCAGACACAGAGCAATGGCCGCCATCTGCAACACACACCCCTAATCAGAATATTTGTAGCCCACTCTCTAATCCAGACAACTTCTAGAAACTCCTCTCAAAACTTGTAACTCTACTGGAAACAAAGAAGTGTTAAAAATGTCCAACAAACTTGCAGTTCTTCCCAAAATGATAAACCACTCTAGAAACGCATCCAGAAACATGTCAATTTCATAAACTCATCACTGGAAATTCATGATAAACTTTCTTACTAAATTTTAATGCTTCCACAATATGTACAATCTAGAAACTAAACTAGGATCATGTAATTTTTTTGTAGCATCTTCAACACATTTGGAAAACTACTGTACTGTATCTGTAAAGTCTCTGACTCCACTGGAAACATTTCAAGAATTCCTCCAGAAACACTAAACTTGTTCTACAAACTTATTGGTTCCACTGTAGCAGCTCAATTGTAAATACTGAAATCACGTAAACGTATCCAGAATTTTGTAAATGTTTCCATAATGTCATTACTACCTCTGGAAACACAAAATTCACTTTCATACAAACATTTTCAAACGTCTCTTGAAATGTATAAACAGTTCACACTCGTCAAAACACTTGAAGCAGAAAGCGGTATCTAGAATCTTGTAAACTCTTAACATAAACTAAAGCCCCTTTTGATTCTGAAACTCAGCCAGTAATGCTTTAGAAACTTATAAGTAGACATGATTAGAAACTTTTATAAATTCCTCTTGATTCTTGTAACTCTTGCAGAAACTTAGACTAAGCTAGAATCTCATTACAAGCACACACACCTACTGTACGTATGATTTTTCTATTCCTTGAACATAGAAGTATTTATAAACTCTTAAAGAAATCTAGAAACATTTATATAGAAACCCATTTCTGTAATCTATAAATGTACATCTTCCATATTTTTGTGCACTGTATATTTCAGTGCTGACTCAGATTCAGTTGTTAGAGCTTAAGTTCAACGAATCAACTTAATGTATTAATATTTTAATAAATGGAGTTTGTAGAAAAGAGACAAACATAGAATTAAAAATATAGAAAAAACTGAGAAGGATAACTGCTATAGTTTACCGCGATGGTAGCAAAGGCTGAAATGATCCCTATCCGGACTTTGATGGGGAAGCTCAGGTAACTCTTCAGGATGGGACCACAGGGCTGCCACACAAACATCAAAATTCAACATTAATAAGAGCTTCTTCCTTCCTACCTTTGTTGATGCACATTTGGAATAATAAAAAAAAACTCCATTCATAAAGCAGGTGTGGTCTGGTGAAGCCATGAAATGTATTTTTAGACATACAGGTGAAAACAGACATTCTGGCAAACAGGAATACTCAAAACAAGTAGAAGTAAGGAAGAGAGAGAGAACATAATGGGGTCATGTTGTTACCTTGGAGTGAACCCAGAATTTATCTGTACCCTGTGGGGTCAGAAGGTAAAGGTCACCACCCACCAACACACAGGGCTCCTCTGAGCTGGAGTTACCAGGTGAAGAGCTGTGAGATGGAGAAGAATAACAAAACCTGAGTAACATCTCTGGAACACAACTGAGACCAGAGCCACAAAACGAACTCCAGTTATTTTGGGGGGGGAAACTGCTATTTTTGTCCCTTCAGCACATTTAGAAAATTAAATGGTCAAATCTGCTCAAGTAAAATCTTGGATCTCAGATCTGGAAACTCAAAAATCCTTTTAGAAGCTCAAAAGCCATAGGAGAAACTCTGAAATCACCCAGTTCAAGAACTGTTTTGACACACCTCAAAGGCTTTGGAGAAAATAGAAATTATTGTAGAACTCCAGAAACTACTGGGGAAGTTTCAAAGCTCTTGAAGAAATTCAAATCATCTTCCGGAAAATTTAAAAGCTCATGAGCCCCACAGAAGAACTGAAAAAAAAAAAACCCAACCCAATCTGAGTTAAATTCTTCAGAAATTCGTTTACAAGTTTAAAGCTTTGGGGAAAAAAACCTCCAGAAATTCTCAAACTCTTTATGAAATCCACACATTTTTGAGAAGGTGAACAGGTCCTTAAAAGTTTGTCTAAAGCACTTCAAGAAACTTGATTCTAGTAATAAAATCAGATCCTCGACAGATCTCTGACAAACTCAAACATTTCTAAACTTCTCTAAAAATCACAAATTCATCACGTCACTCGTGTAGAAACTCAAATTCTCATCTAAAAGCTACAAATTCTTTTGAAATAAAAAAAACCTCTTCAGTGTACAAACACAGTTACTCAAAAATCCAGTTATCCCGAAAATCCAAGGCTTTTTCTAGAGCCACAAAAGGTGTTCAAAAGACCCAGAAGCTGTCCTGGAAATTCTTCAAGTTTTCAGGGTACACATTTGTAGAAATCTAAACATTGTCAGAGCATCAACAGTTCTTAGTGAAAATCAAAAATCCAGAATCCTTCTAAACTTTTTTGATTTTTTTCTTTTTTCTTTTTCTGTTTTGTTGTCGTACCTGGGCTGTCGGTCAGAGGCAGGTGTGCAGAAACAGGAGACAGGAAGTTGATTCTCCCAGTCTTCAAAACTCCTCAAACCACAACAAGAGTCCTGAAACCCAGACAGACATTGTGGCTAGTTGGTTCCCTTCAGATGCCTCTGCTGTTTAAAAACATTTAAATATAGATATTTAATTCAGCGACTATCATTGTTGGTGTATAAAGCTAAGATATTACCTTTGCAAAGTCAATTGTAAAAACTGTTGCTATGATTTGTTAAATTTTATATTTCAACTTTAATAGTGTGTAACTTTGAACAATCTCCCAGTATTTTGCAGTGGTGGAAGAAGTACTCGGTAAAAGAAAAAAATACCACAGTGTAAAAATATGTTCAAAATGTTACTTTACCAAAAGTACAAAAGTATCACCATCCAAATCTACTTGAAGTATCCGCAGTACTGCAGAATAGCCCGTGTCCCAGTAACGTCTCTGATACTGGATCATAGTGACTAATTACTGTGTCCATCACTTTAATGCTGCAGCTGGTAAAGGTGGAGCTGATGGTAACGCCCTTATATACTTATACTGTGAAGTACTTTCCATCCTGTTGAGTAGCTGGTGGATTTCCCACTGGGATCAGTAAAGTCTGATGGTTCTACTGGGTTTGGTTTGATTCATCTGATTCTGGACCTGAAGTTATCAGGTACATGTAGTGCAGTAAAAAGTACACGGTCTGTCTCTGACATGGAGGGAAGTAGCAGAAACTCAAATACAAATACCTCAGTTATACACTACTTCAGTACAGCAGTCGAGTAAATGTACTGATTTACTTTCCACCACCTATATTATGTGTGTGTGAGAGAAGAGCTGAAGTACAGCTGTTTTTTATTGTTTTCAGGACAGAGAAAATAGTGACAATATAAAGAAAATCTGTACAAACACTTCTGAGAGCTGATAGCACCAGCAGCAACTTCAGCTGTCCTTTACTACTTGTTGTGACCAACAGGTGTTTGTCGTCATTGTGGTGTTTGATGTGAGTCGGTGTGATTGAATCCAGATCTGCTTCATTGCTTTGGTTCCTTATTTTTTCACATGTATTACCGAGGCCTGGAGTTTGTTGAGCTCCCACTGGATGTACGGCTCCACCCTGTGGAGGGGAGTCACGTTCCGAAATACCTCGTCAAAGGCGCTGTCGATCTGTAGAACCCAACATGAAACTGTACTGTGAGTCAGTGATGGAGAAGAGTCGGGACGAACAGGAAAAGTAGGTTTAGAACAAACAGAGCTTTAGCTTTTTAAGGTTACTGAGATTAGAGCAGATTAGTTTAGAGCATAGCAAATAAAGGTGGTGCTGTGAAAGATGTGGGTGTTCTCCAGGCAGAGATGGTCCAACAGGCAATGCTAACGAAATCAGGACATTTTGGACTTTTTTTTATTTTGACTACTTTAAATATGTATCTCAAGTATAACAACCCAAAGTGCAATATTAAATTACTGCATTAATAATCCTAAGTCGCACTAATACAGTTTCTTACTTTTAAAGATCCGGATCTCACATGGGGTCACAGACTAAGCAGGTGTGGTCCTGGTCCTTAAAGAGTTCAGTTATTTGTATATCAACATTTGAGGGAAGAATTTGGGAGAATTAACCAGAGCTGTTCCAAGCATTTGTGCAGAGTTGCCCACAGGTATAATTACCTGTGCTTGGACCTGAACCAGCGGCGAGGCAACAACCATCAGAGCCACAAACTCCACGAATATCAAAGCAGAAAACTGGAGAGGAGACACACATGTCAGCTGTATGTGGACACGTTTCTCTGACTGTGTGGACAAATTTTAGTTCAAAACTGTCATTGTGAGGACATGTCGTCCAGCCCTCACACGTTAAAGGGGCTGTTGAAGGGTTCAGGTTGGAATCAGGTTTAGGGTTAGGGGATGAATTATATGTTTGTTTATCTCACCAGCAGCAGCAGAGCTTTGAGATCCAACGATGCAGCACAGATGCCCAGAACAGACAAAACCACTGTGATCGGACCAAACACCTGCAGGACCAGTAAACCATCGCTACTGGACAGCTGCTCAAACAACTGGGAGTGGGAGAGAGAGTGACCAGTAAATTCATAATTCATTTAAACTTTACCCAGAATCCAGTTTAAGCTGCAGATATACTGTAAGTTATTTATTTGTGCAGATTCTCAGTCATCCAGGTCATAGTGAGGTCAGAACTGATGAAGCCTCTTGGATGAGAGGTGAAACGTCTTCGACCTAGAAATCTAGTCAAGTTATTGCTTCTCTAAAAGCATTTAGCTTCTGCCAGTCTTTAGCAGCACATGGAAGAGAATTCAAAGCCTGTGATTGAATTTTTCTTACTGAAATGCATCATGGGAGTCATAGTTGACTTCCCATCTGCTTTCTTGTCAAAACCCATCATCTACATTACCCACAATGCAAACTGGCCACAGATAATTCAGTAGTGATTTTCATGTGTTATGCTCGTGGCGGCTTAATGGAGCCTGGAGGCAAAATAATATAAGTAAAAGAGAAATAAAAATAGCTCTTGTAGTAAATGAATGTGTGATAAAATAAATTAGTGATTCTTCTAAACAGATGAGAAAAATACAAATTATATGAAATATTATATATTTAACTTGGAGAAATATGAATAGTGTTTATATGATGTGATATTAATTTCTTATTCACACATTTTGACATTTATTTAAAGAAAAACTAAAGTGCACCGAAAAATAGGCCAATCAGCAGCAGAGACAGTAAAGGACTTTTAATGTGGCGGGGTTAAATACACACCTCAGCGACTGGTATGTTGCTGTCGTCGGCAGAAAATCCAGCGCCGATCATCACCACACCAGACGCCTGCAGAGGGATAAGGCAGGGAGACGTTGGCGGACGGGTTGGAGCACGTGGCAGCAGATGAGAGCGACTGGTTGTTTGTTGGCTCCATAGAGGAGGAAGGCTTTAACAGCAGCAGCATTTCTCCGAAACTGCTGCGCTTCCCCAGAGACGCTCATCAGTCTCCCATCTGCTGGCACAGACGTCATCTGCCTCGCAGTCAGAGGTTAAACCTTCACAAACACTGCTGCACAGAAAAACCCTCAGCATTTGACTTGGTCTCCTAGGGACGGGTATCGTTAGGATTTTATTGATACCAATACTGCTTATCAATGCCGATACTTATCAATACTCTTATGGATACTACTCTCCATAATTTGGTGCAAAAAAATGAAGATAAAAGATGTGACAGGATTTAACTTTTTTATGATTACATTTTTGCTTTAATAAACTGATATTTTAACAGTACTTTTTTGGGGTTTTTTTGTTTTTAAAAGGAAAATAAAATTTTAAGAACAGATTTAACATGGCTTAATTTTCCCTGTCTGCGACTGTTATCACCCTTGAGAAGCAAAGTGCGTCAGCGCTGTTTTGAACAAATGGCTAGACGACCGTGTGAATGCTGATGTGTAAAAATAAAAAATAAATCCTAATGTAGTACTTTGAGTGTATTTTTACTGTGTCGCGCACTGCAGTGACACAGCGCTGGCCCCGCCCCTCGCACTACGGCTCCGAGAGGCAGGTCTGTCTTCTGGATTCAGAAAATCGAAAATGCAGCATAGACTAATGCGATAATCTGAAACGGAGTCGGTAGGATAAAATGTGCAGGATAACATTTAGGCAGCAATAATAGAAACTCCCAATGTGCACGTCTTGTTCCCAGCTTGTCCAGTCAACATGTCGAGGTGTCCTTGAGCAAGACACTGATCCCCCATTTGCTTCCGGTGATGTCACTGATGTGTGAGTGCTTGAGATTGCGAATGGCTGTTTTGTTGTCGTACCTGGGCTGTCGGTCAGAGGCAGGTGTGCAGAAACAGGAGACAGGAAGTTGATTCTCCCAGTCTTCAAAACTCCTTATACTTGCTATACAAGTATAAGACCATTTACCGTTCTTTAGTACCATAGCAGAACCCTGAACGTTGGGGCTAATTGACACTACGGTCTGTGATAATTTAGCACCGGTGCCCGTCCGTTATCTCTGTCCGGTCAGTTTTCATAGCGACCACGCTGTTGTTACGTGCAGCAGCAAATAAAAATAACGATATGAGCAGGTTTTACTTTATTCAATCTAAAACAGTCAAATCAAAGAAAGAAAAATATGGACACACGCATGCAACAACAGAAATAATAAAAGGTAGTGAAATAATAAAAGGTAGTAAAATATAAAGCTCACTGGTGTGCAGTATGTGTTTGGCAGTAAGGATAAAAATACATGAAGTAAATAAAACATGCTGTAGCGGCTCTGTCTGAGTCTTATGTCGTGTTATGTGGGTTCAACTGGACCATGCTTTGTATTGTAATCAGCTCATATATCTATCAATCAATCAATCAGTTTTTATTTGTATCACATTTTTAATACAGTTTCGTGCAGTTCAAGCTGCTTCACAGACGACTGATGCACTGATATTATGACGGAATCAGGGTCAAAGTAAAAACTGAAAGTATTACAAGTAAAAGTCCTGTATTCAGTTTTATTTGAGATAAAGTACCAAAGTATTAGTATCAAAATATACTATAAAGTACCACTGATGGTGCAGCACGACTAGTTTCAGAAAAAAATAAAACTTATAGATATAACAAATGGTGGAATCTATAGCTGTTAGATACACGTACAGGAAGACAATATGAATAAATAAAAAGCATCTTGACAGGACACACTGTGGCTCAAATATTTTAAAAAATCCACTTTGTAATTATTCTAATTGATAATTTATTAGAAGCCTCGCAAAAGAATAATTAATTATTTTGTGTAAGGTCAGAAAAATGTCAATTTGAGTATCTACAAAAAAGCAACAGGATGAATTCTGTGATGATCATGTGATGCAGTTGAAAGCTGCTGAAGAGCTGCTAAAGGGACCTCGTGTGTTTTGCTGCAGTTTCCAAAATAAAGACCGAGCCTCAGTTTATAAAGGAGTTAAATTAGTATGTAACAGACCAGATTTAAAAAGCTGCTCATCAAACAAACCTTAGTTGTTGTTTTGTGTCTTAAAACAAACTACATCAGTTTTTAGTGATAGAAAATAAAAATTGTGCTGAGTACATATTAATAAGTAACAAAAATACATTTTAAGGAGATTTCCTGTGTGAAAGTTTTATTTCTCTGCTCCTGACCTTGACCACCTCTTCATCACATCATAACCCAGAACAAACATGCTGTTAGCAGTTAGCGATTAGCCGTTAGCTTACCAGTAGCAGCACAGTGACACAGATGGAGAGTCCTCGCAAGTAACTCCTGCAGCGAGCCATGTCCGCCGTGTGAGAGAGTCGAGTGGAAATAGAAAGAGTAAAGACCAGAGCTGACTCTGTGTGGGCGGGTGTGTGATGTTGTTTGAAGCGCAAGTGTTTGGCTGCAGAAAGAAGAACATGACCAAGTTTGGAAGATCAGCTGGCGAGGAGGAAACGAGGAGAGGAAACAGGACAGGACAGGAGAAGAAACATGCCAGGAGAGGAAAGGAATCAAGGGGAGGAGGCAACGGGGTAGAGAGGAAACAAGCAAGGAGGAGAGGAAGCAGGACAGGAGAGGAAACAAGTCAGAAGGAGAGGAAACAGTAGTACAAGACAGGAAGAGAGGAAAGGAGGAGAAGAAATGAGAGGAGAGGAAAAGAGGAAACACATCAGGAGGAGATAGGAAATGAGGAGAGGAAGCAACAGAAGAGTAGAGGAAATGTCACAAGAGAACTAAACATTGGAGAAAGGAGGAAATGAGTGGACAGACAGAAGGAAACATGGGAGGAAAAAAGAAACCACAGGATGAGTGGAGAGATCACCCCAGGTAAAAGTTCAATCTAATTAAGAGGGAGGGAAGGAGGAGAGTGACTGAGACGGTGATAAGAAGGGAAGCCGAACAGGAAGCGATGAAAAGAGGAAGTATAATGAAGATGAGCAGGATGGAAAACAAGGAACAAATGCGAGGGAGAGGGAGCAGGATGCACAGTATTGAGTTCAATATAATTATGTTTATTTATACAACACAGGCACATGGCTGTAAGACTAAGTCTGGATCTGGAAGAGAAAAATCTTTGTACAGAGTGATAAACCTGATGGAGGACATTACAAGTGCTATGGATGAGAAGAAATACACGATAGGAATATTTATTGACCTAAAAAAGGCATTTGACACAATCAATCATGAATTATTAATGGACAAGCTAGAAAAATATGGGATCAGAGGAATGGCTCTGAAATGGATTAGAAGTTATTTGACACAGAGGCGTCAATTTGTGAAGTTGGGTGAATA